CCTCCTCCTCCCTGCCCTCCTATCCTCTCCTGCCCCGGCTCCCGTCCCCACACGTCTGCTCCTATCCCGGCTTGCCTAGCGCCCATCCCAGCTCTCAGGAAGGCTCAGAGAGGCCCTGCAGTGCCCTCTCCCTGCTCTCAGTCCCGGTGCCTGGGGCCACAGCCGCCCCCCGCAGCCAGGAGGAGTCAGGGCGGGGCGCTTTTCGCTAGCACTGTCCTATAAAAACCAGCCTGGGGCGGACACCGAGCACAGAAAGACTCAGCAGCCAGTGTGGCTGCCAGGGGCTTTGCCACAAGGCAGACTCACCACCAGGGCGCCTCCTGCTGGCCACTCAGGGAATTAGTATTTTGGTGCTGGAGCGCCCCCTTCTGGCTGGTGTCTCACCTGCTGTTACTTATTCTCCGCCATACTCGGTCATGGCCCACGCCCGTCCCAGACCGTGGCACCCTCCTCCGGGGTACTGCCCTACCGCAGGGCCCCCACACTCTGGAGACCCTCAATCCCCCTAGGCCCACCTTGCCTCAGTGACCCACGGCCGGTCTTCATCTAGCCCCCCTGCCACAGGGGCAAACTGCCATCTGACATAGACGCTCATCACTGGCAAGAGGTTGGGGACCTGCTGCCTTGGCCTATCCTGGCTGCCTCCCTGCAGCCCTAGGACCCTCAGGCGTTGCGTTAGGCCCTGCAGCCTGGGGGCTCACCTGGCCACAGCTCCCCAGCTCTGCCTGCCTTTCCCCAGCCCTGCTCTAAGCCAGGAAGCCTCCAGTTTCCCTAGAAGCCAGATCCCTCCTGGAGCCCTTATTTATACAGCCCATAGCTGGGCCCTAATTGGCAGCTATCTGCTGCAGCTGCTGGCTCCAGCCTTCCAGTCCTCCCCCAGGGCTGGTTTTAACCCCTGGACAGACGCCCCGTCACAGGCTTCTAACGTTAGGAAACCGTTAGGAACCTTACCGATAAGCAGTGATACCAGTTCCGCCTACAATCCCATCTTTTAACGCTTTACAAGGGGGAAATAGAGATGCCGTCTTAGGAAGTCTTGACGTGGCCCAGTGTCTGTGTTCTAGCAGCTCCAAAACAATCATTGTGACGTGTCCATGGAGTCTCCGTGTATTGTACAGCACATGTAATATCTCCAGTAACACGGGTCTGTGGGTATTGTCCACATGCGCATCCACCAGTTCAACCCCACGGGTCCCAGGTCAGATCCTACCACAGGATAGTCTGAGAGAGACTCCACTGCAGTCAGCGGGAGCAACATCAGCTGCAAATAGTTAAGAGACTCAACGATTTCAGCCACGGTCACTCGCTTCCGCTTCATGTCTTTAAAGCTCATGCGTCAAGGTTTCCTCCAGCCACCTGCAGGGGTCAGGAAGGGATTTCACTCCCAGTGTATTCTGGGCAGGTTCTTTAATCTCCTTCCTCTGGAGAATCAGAGTTGGCCACAGCTGGGGAGGGGATCCTACAGGGGAGGGCTGAGGCGGCACTGTCCATATCCCCTCTCAGCTGCTTGGCCGCTTGGCTCTTCCTCGCATGCCCAGGCGCTAAGTGATCACCATACGTGGGATCAGCAAGGAATTACTCCCTCCCGGTCAGATTGGCAATGAGCTTGTCGGTTTCTGCCCTTCCTCTGCAGCGTGTGGGGGAGTCCTTTGCCAGGATCATCTCATTTCTCTACCCCGCACGGGTGCACCTGCGGCCCCTCTGGTCTCTCCGGTCTGAGGCTACGTCTAGACTGCAGGCTTCCTTCGGAAGAACCTTTTTTCGGAAAAGATCTTCCAGAAAAACTTCTTCCGAAAGAGCGCGACCACCCACAAAAGTGCATCGAAAAAGCGATCAGCTTCTTTGAAAGAGAACGTCCACACTGAATGGACGCTCTCTCGCATTTCAGTGATTACTATGGACGGAGTGGCCACCAGGGCACCTGTGCTTTTTCCTCTTTCCTCTTCTTTCGAAAGAACTCCCTCTTCCCCGTCCACACACACCTTTTTCCGAAAGAGCGCTTTCAGAAAAAGGCTTCTTCCTCGTCAAAAGAAGGCTGCCAGCGCCGGAAAAACCCCTCTGTTCTTTCCATTTACTTTCGGAAGAACACAATTGCAGTGTGGACGTAACTCAGGTTTTGTCGGAAAAACAGCTATTTTTCCAACAAAACTCTGTAGTGTAGACATACCCTAACAGGCTAGTCTCCTGTGAGCGGTCATATTTTGGTCTCATTCGAGCTGGATGAGTGGGGGGGGCTGGGTAGCGTTGGTGCCCTGTGAGATACAAGAGATCAAGCTAAGTGAGCTGGAAAGCCCTTCTGTCATTCAGTCCTAGGACTCTGGGCCCTGACCTATACAAGGGCTTTATTTCGAAATAACCTCCCGTAGGTCGAATGAATAAGCAGAGCGTCCACACGACCAAGCCCGTTATTTAGAAATAACAGGTCGCTTATTTCCAAATCTGTCCTCCTGCTTTCCTCGGGGAATCACGCTAATTCCAAACTAGTGATTTCGAAATAGCGATCGTGTGGACGCTCCGGTGCTGCTCTTTCAAAAGAATGGCTCCCCAGAGTCATTCGAACTAATGACTCCCCAACGTTTCCAGGGGCTCCAAGTCGAGGGAGCCCGTCCATATTCACATTCTGCCTCTGTCTCATTTTGAGGGTTCCCTGTAGTGAGGACACGCTAGCTCAATTTTCTTATTTCAGGAGTTACTAAATCAATGTAAATTATTTCAGAATAGTTTCTTAGTGTACACATATCCTAAGTGACACTTGATCTATACGGGTGTGTCTAAACTACATGGCTCCGTCGACGGAGCCATGTAGATTAGGCTGATAAGCAGAGGGAAATGAAGCCGCAATTTAAATAATCACGGCTTCATTTAAATTTAAATGGCTGCTGCGCTGAGCCGACAAACAGCTGATCAGTTGTTTGTCTGCTCAACGCGCTAGTCTGGACGCTCCCGCGCAGACCTGAAAGCCCTTTATCGACCTCCCCGTTATGCCTCGTAGGATGAGGTTTACCAGGGAGGTCGAAAAAGGGCTTTCATGTCAACAGGGGAGCATCCAGACTGCCCCGATCTGACGACAAACAGCTGATGGGCAGAGCGGGGCAGCCATTTAAATTTAAATGAAGCCGCGATTATTTAAATTGCGGCTTCATTTCCCTTTGTCGAACAAACAAATCTACATGGCTCCGTTGACGGAGCCATGTAGTTTAGATGTACCCTAGCAGTGAGAGTGGAGTGGACTATCAAGCCTTATACATTGTGCCAATGCGCAGTAAGAATGTATGATGGGTTGGGACTTTCGCATCTCTCTTCCTGCGAATACCTCCTAAATCTATCACGAGACATTTAAAAACTACCCAGATGACAGCTATTGCGTCTTGTCTAGAGATACTTTCTTCTTATCTCTCTGCAAGAGGATCCAATCAAGGGGTAAATCTTAGATAGTCACTTCCACTCCCACCAGTATACAAGTGCTGGTAGATTTTTGGGCAACTCAAGTCCATAACAATAATGATAAAAGTGGCCAGAGTCTCTAGCTTGTATGAAAGATGCACAAACCTGCCTGGGTTGAGACTGAGCAGCAGCCAAGTAGCTAACGTGAAAGCGAGCGCTTGCTGCAAGGAAAGGCCTTGCATGATTTTCATCAAAGATATGCAGGGTTAGGCATCGCCTGCAGCTCTTTGCAGCATGTTATTATAACCCCGATTTAATAATTAACAAAGTCATTAAACCATCAGGATGCTTTAACTAGGCCATAACCAATGGCGGTGGATAAAACAGTAATACACACACACACACACACACACACAATATATAAAACAGTAACACACACACACACACACACACACACACACAATATTTCCCCGTCACACTGTTTAAATAAGAATAGGACTCAGGGCTGGTGACAGACTTTGCAGGGCCTTGAGCAATGTGTGTGAGGGGCCACTGCTCTAGAAGGGGTGGGGCCTCAGGCAGAAGGGGTGAGTCTGGAGACTAGACAGAGACTTCTCAATGCTGCCCAAACAGTGTCATACCTCCTCCGGCCAGCCCACAACGCCATTCAGACCACACCATGCAGCTCAGGGGGCAATTTAAAGGGGCCAGGTCTCCGTCCTCTGCCGTAGCTGTGGTAGCAGCAGCCCAGAACACCAGGCCCTTTTAAATCAACAGGCCCCAAGCGACTGTCCCTTTGTCCCCCCATTGGTGGCCCTGATAGTACGATAGTAAATGAAACAATGAATTCACACAGCTGTGGCTCCTCCGGGTAATGCTGATGGCTAATTTGGCTCCTGAACCACTGAGATCTGTGTGTCACTGATTGGTCACATGCTGTATCAATGTGGTGTTCATGACACCACAATTAAACACTCATTGTCAGCATCAAGCCAACAATAAAGTCTTAAAATGCTGACATTTCTAATGGAAACGTCAGCTTATCTTTTCCTATAGCTGTCTGAATACGCAGCAGCAATTACCAAATACACCCAATCAACGTATTTTATGGACGTAATGATTATGAACAGACCTAGATGGCTGTATTGTATATCAAAGTACAACATCGATTGCCATAATCTTATTAGACCTTCTGCGACGCACATCCAGGACTCTGGACAAAGGAACATTAAGAAAACCTGCCATTGCTGGCATATGATAATACAACCTTTGACCCCCCCCAGAAAACTGCAAGAGGGCAGAGAAAAAACAGCCCTGAAGAAGCAAGTGACAGACACGCCTCTAACTTCCAAGATCTGACTTAATAAAACATAAAACTGCCACCCCATGCTCGGATGAGAAGCACTATTTTGGGTGACTCCAGCCCCGAGGAAGATGCCAGACCTAACGATTTTAAGATAAGTAGCAGCAGAAGTAAACTTTTCCCCATATCGCTTTCTTCTTACCCCAGTTGCTTTTGGTACTGGCTCTGGATTCCCGCCTCCTCCCTGCCGTTGACATAGTCGTTAAGTTTTTGCCATCGCAAGCGAGCAAATCAAACCATGCCGTGTACTTACTAGCTCTGGTACGATAAAAGCATATGGCACCGTTCTCAGGACTTTTAGTCCAGATGGTATGTCCGCTTCTATGTTGGTAACAGGTGCGGGGAGATCTTTTGATGCCATCTCCTCTCTGCTCAGCTCCAAGTCCTGCTCCGCTATCCTCGGTTATCAGTGCAATGCACAGCTTAAAAGTACTAGCCAGAGACACACCTGCCTGGAGGTAATCAGTAAAACCAGTTCCAGCCTGGCAGGTCAGACCGCTCCTTGCGGCCAAAAGAATCCTCAGCTGCTCGAGCTAATTAAGCACATTCCTTGGACAGTGAATAAGCCAGTGGATGACAACGTGCAGATGACTGGTGAGATTTTTATCACTCTGATTTGTGGCTCCGTTTCCTATGACACTTTGCGCAGCTACCTGGCTGGGAGGCCTCATGCAGCTGTTGCCAGAATGGACGTGGGTCCCTTCTCTGTCCGGGCCGTGAAAGAACAGGCTGACCCCAACCCAGCTCAACAGAGAAGCCAGGAAGAGATCCCAGTGACTGACGCCGCTACACCGAATGGCAGGAGACCCGGGCAGAGGGGACGCGTGCAGTGAGCTGGAGCAGTGACCGGGAACGTGTTAGGTGCTGGGGTCCCTTTGCTGGGACTCCGGAGTGACAAAAGGGGCAAGAGGAGTCGGAGAGGGAGACCAACGCAGGGCTGGCTCCTCATGGCGCTGGCTGGACCAGCATGGACTCCGGCAGAATTTCTGCCTCTCTTTGCTAAGCCAAGGACTTTCAGATTCCGTAGCCGGGTGATTAACACACGGTGACCTTGTTTTGAAAAGGCTGCCTACCCCACTTGTGTCCTGTTAGTTCCTAGTCCCTGGCTCTTTGCCCAGCTCTTGATCTGATCTGAGTCTCCTCTCCACTAGCTCCTAGGCCATCCCCAATTTCTCAGTCCCCGTCTCCCCCTACACAAATCCCAGCCCTTGAGTCCTGCCACTCCCCGGCCAGCCTCCAGTCCTGGTGCCACCCCACCACAGTCTCTGCTCCACCCAAGACTGGCTCTTTTCCCCTCGGCGGTCCAAACAAGCACCCTCCTCCTCTGCACAGCCTGGGCCCGGCTCGGGGAGCACCGGGACCAGGAGAGAGAGGCGCCTGGCAATCCGTTCTGATGTGCAGCCTGGCCCACAGCAGCTCAGAGATGCAACTGGGGGCAAAGTTTTGCAGAGCCAGGGGGTGGGGCACGCCCAGTGTGGACAGAACCGCAGGGGAACGGAGCCGTGACTCTGTACCGCGCCTGTACGGAGCTCACGTGCCCTACGATTTTTCAGAGATTTTTAGTTTGTGCGGATTTTCACAGGGCTGGCAAACGGCAGCGATGGCCAGCTGCTTGCTAGAGTCCGTGTCTTGCTGCGTAGCTCCCCAAAGGAAAGAGT